CACAGTATAAACAATTTAATCAAGTGCTTCCCTTTACGTACTATTATCATCTTCACCTTTCTTAGGTTTTGCTTCACCCAATTATTCTTTACTCAGGCACTGGAATATATTGGAGATGCTGCTCAACATTTAATACAAAGGATAATTGGGTTTGCTTGCCATCAGCATGTTGCTGGCATAAACACATTTATACTCTAGCAGCTTGGTATAGGTGATAAATAAGAGAAGAGAGGGTTGAGCCTTTTGGAACTCTGGAGGCAAAGGGAGCAGTTCCCCATGATGACCCTCTAGAACAGTGGTGGGCAACCTGCGGCCTGTCAGGGTAATCTGCTAGTGAGCCACAAGACAGTTTGTTTACATTGACCGTCCGCAGGCATGGCCGCCTGCAGCTCCCAGTGGCTGCGGTTCACTATTCCCGTTGGGAGTTGCGGAAAGCGGCGCGGGCGGCCATGCCTGTGGATTGTCAATGTAAACAAACTGTCCCATGGCTCGCCATCAGATTACCCTGACTGGCCGCAGGTTGCCCACCACTGCTCTAGAATCAATCTTCGATGAACGATCAAAGCCATTTGGGATTATTTCCATTAAACTCTGGTACAGCCTTATGTTATTGGAGAGCAGCATTCTACAAACAACTGAAAGGAATTCTATGGAGTGATCCAATAATGTGAGTATAGTTGTATGATCCTTGGCCATAAAGGAGATAATCCACCAGCATGAGCTAGACAGTCTGTATGCCATATGCTACCTGAAACTTGCCTGAGAGAGATCTGTGACTGGGTTCCTGGAAGGGTCAGACTGAGAATGCCATTTTCAGGGCAGACTTCAGAAAATATGGCCGAAAATCCCCCAAAACTGGTGGTTTATTCTATAATTAGATTCATCAAGCCAGTAACAAAAGAGCTTTTGCAGTACCATACTGGCTAACCAGAAGCCAAACACAGTCCCTTTTAGGCATTCTAGCCCTTGACTCCCAACCAGATAAACAGGTCTCAGACGGTTATTGAAAACCTAATTCACCATACATAATGTTCTACCAATCCCAGAGGATTAGACACTTACCCTCATATAGTATGTATTTCAGATCTTATCCAAAAACCATGCTGTCAGCCAATCCTTAGTAAACTAACTAAAGATTTATTAATAAAAGGGGAGAGTTTTAAATGGTTATTAGATAATATACAACTATATATATGATTGCAAAGTCCTTATATCAGATTTGTAGCAATGATGGACTGCTGTCTTCTAAAGTTTCTCTGGTAACTTCCAAAAGATTGGAAGGTCCTCAGCCCAGAGTTCAAGACGCTCCTTTTAGTTGTAAATCCACAGTCCAGAGAATTAGAGCAAAAAGAGGCAAGATGGAAGGGTCTCAAAGGTCTTTTATATCCTTTGTCATGTGGATGGAAGTTTGCTGTCCCAAACAAAGCCCACAGCCCCTGTCTGTGGAAAATTACTGGCCCAAGATGGAGTCCAGGGTCACAAGAGTATATTACATGTCCTTACATGGTTTGCTGAATAACAGGGGGTGGCCATTGGCTCCTCGTTGTCTGAAGCATCCTCAGGAAGAGCTATCTGGGTGAGATGAGCTTTTTTCAACAGCCCATTGTGAGAGCTGAGAGTCCTTGATGGCCTATCGATACACAGCTGTCTAACCTTGATGTAATTGTATCTGGAGGGTGTCACCCAGGAACAAAACACAGGTTTAAGATACAAGCACACAGCCAATATTCATAACGTCAGATACAAAGATGATACATGTAAAACAGGATAAGGTTTCCATTGAAACTTTACATGACACACTTTGTATAAGATTTATGGTAATTGTATAACAGTGGTAACAGCAGTGATACAAATGGTCACCTTTCTTGTACACAGGGTCACAGGGTCCAAGATTAGAGGTAATCAAAAATCAAAATTTACATCCTGTAGGAAATTCCAATATTTCTACATTTGTGTACATCTTAAAACCAGGACACAATGCTGAAATATTAATTTGGGTGGAATTAAAAGTTTCAAAAAATTTCAGTGATGCACTGCAGTCACGGACACCCATGATGCACTCTGGCAGTTCTGTCAGAGGGAGACCATAATGCAGCTGCAATGCATCATGGAAGATGCATTGCAATTAACTGGGAATTGGTCCTGCTTCGAGCAGGGGGTTGGACTAGATGACCTTCTGGGGTCCTTTCCAACCCTTATATTCTATGATTCTATGATTCTATGTAGTCTGGCAAGGGAGTCCAGACAATAGGGGAAAATGGGTGCAATGAGGCACCTGAACTACAGCTCCGGTCAGCTGCCCCAGCAATTCAGGCAGACAGTTTAATGTCAAATTGGTCTGAAAGTAAATGTTTCTCTTTGTCTGAACAAACCAAAATGTTTCAATATGGGACAACCTTAGCTGAAATTAAATTATTAGTTTCATTTTTCTCAACATAAAAAAACCTTGGAAAAATAAAAAAAAACCTAGAAAATATTGATTTTGTGGAAGCCACATGTTCTGTTGTGGAGAAAAAAAACCCAACCAACCAAACACACTAGCACCACAAAGATATTTGCAATTCCTGAAGCCTGCTGGATTTTAAATTATTTTGGCTCATAGTCTCCAAATTGTACTGTTAAAATAGAAATACATGTTCTTGCTCCTGTTTGACCAGAAAAATCCAGACTGACAACAACACTCTCCACTCCAGATTCTGGCACATTCAGGAAGCCCTAAAAATGTACAGAAGGAAATCAAAGCCACTAAATGAGACTGATTCATGAAATCTGTGGCTGTTGGGGAAAAAAAGTAGAGAGTCTATGAAAACCCTACTAATAGAGGTTGTGAATATTTCTTTTGAAGAAGCGACTCTACCGTCCATCAGAAAGTACTCTATAGTTTTGTCAGGACTCAGAAAACTATTACTCATTGCCTAATTTCTCATTTCTGAAAAGTTAATTCTACCTTCACTTCTTGACTGCAAATATCTTGGATAGAGAGGCTGGAAATTTTCCATCAGTGTTTTTTCAACAGAAAATGGCTCTCTTGCAAAATCAAAATTGTAATTGCTGTATTGAGGTCTGTTTTTTTCCAAAAGAGCTGAAAAAACTGCACTTCTTCAGTTAGGTGGTAGGATTTGGGAGACTGGGAAAAAGAAGTCGCTGGAACCAGCTTGTTTTTGCAATTCTGTACCTTTTGCAACAGGCATTTAAGGTCATTAGGATTTCGTACATTACTTTTTATTCAGATAGTAGAATTCAGAAGATTGAGATTAAAACCTGGCATGATCCAGCATGAGCTAGGTACCAGCTGGTAATTTTTCCAATGCTATTGGACCAAAATGTGTCAGAGGTAGGGTTACTAGGCATCTGGTCGAGATTGCCAGGTGTCTGGTTGGTGGCACAGCGGGACTAAGGCAGGCTCCCTGCCTGTTCTGGCTCCACGTGGCTCCCAGAAGCGGCCAGCATGTCTGGTTCCTAGGTGCAGAGGTGGCCCCTGCCCCGAGTACTGACTCCACAGCTCCCAGTGAGAGCTGCGGGAGTGGCACCTGCAGGCGTGCTCAGCACACAGAGCTCCCTGGCCCCTCTGCCTAGGAGCTGGATATGCTGGCTGCTTCCAGGAGCCACACGAGATAAATGTTCCTCAGCTAGAGCCTGCACCCCGAACCTCCTCCCACACCTCAACCTCCTGTCCCAGGTCAGAACCACCTCCCACACCCTAACTCCCTCCCAGAGCCTGCACCCCAATCCCCTGCCCCATCCCTGAGCTCTCTCCCGCACCCAAACTCTCTCCTAGAACCTGCACCCCAACCCTCTGCCCCAGCCCTGAGTTCCCTCCTGGACTGAAACTGCCTCCCAGAGCCTGCACCCCACACCCCTCCCATGCTCTAACTCCCTGCCCTAGCCCTGAGCCCCCTCCTACACCCCAAACCTCCCAGCCCCACCCCAGAGCCCACACCCCCTCCCACATCCCAACCCCCTGCCCTAGCCCAGAGCTCCCTCCTGCACCCCTCATTTCTGGCCCCACCCCAGAGCTCACACCCCCAGCAGGAGCCCTCACCCCATCCTGCACCCCAACTTCCTGCCAGGAGCCCCCTCTAGCACCCTGAACCCCTCATTTCTAGCCTCACCCTGGAGTCCACCCCCCCCCCCACCAGAGCCCTCAACCCTACACCTCAACCCAGTGAAAGTGAGTGAGGGTGGGGGAGAATGAGCGATGGAAGGAGGAGGGATGGTGTGAGCAGGGGCGGATCCTCGGAAAGCAAAGCGGGGCCTCAGGAAAGGGGCAGGGCAAGATTGTTTGGTTTTATGCAATTAGAAAATTGGCAAACCCACCCTATTCACAGGGCACATTTTTCTTCAGAAGCAGGAAGATATTTATGACGAACTAGAAACCGCTCTAATTGTTTTGTTTCTTTTCTTTACAGTGTGGGGGTTAGGGCCAAAAATTGCCAAGATCCCGCTTGCTCTAGGTGCCGGATCTATTTCACAGCCTCATGCACTGTCATACACTCAAGGTCTGGAATGCTTTGGGCGCAGTAGGAGGGGCTGATACACGTGGTCCCTGTTCCTGCCAGGAGCCTTGGAAGTGAGAGACAAAACCTGAATGGATCCAGATCTGGGCTGCAGCAGCGCTCGTGCTTTGGGAAGCCACGGGCTACGAGCGGGCGTGTACTTGCACTAGGAACAGCGAGGCTTGTTCCCTAGGTGGTGGATGGTGCAACTGGGGGAGGAGATGAGAGCCAAAGACAGCCAGGCAGGATCCAGGTACCTCCAGCTCTTGCCTTATCCCAGAGCACAGGGTCTGGGGTGGGTCACCCTACTGCAGCCCCCTTTTTGCTCACACTCTCGTCCTGACTCGTGCCTGACTCCCGCCTGCAGTCCGCTCCTGCCCAGCGCCACGGCCAGCAGCAACCAGCCTGCCCAAGGCCCCACGCACGCGCCCTGCCGCGCGCCCTCAGGCTTGAGCTGCAATCGCGCATGCGCCGACCCCAGTTTCAGCCTGGGGCGCCGCGCCTCGGTCACCTGATAGCAACAGCGGCGGCCGGGGAGCGTCCAGGGCAGCGGCGGCCCGGCCGGACGCGGAGCCATGATGAGAATTTCCGCTTCCTCTGCCGCAGGGCCCGGCCGCGCCTAGCCCGCGGCGGCTTCGGCGGGAGGCCGTGCCCGGGCCGGGCAGGGAGGGGTCGCGATGCCGCCGCCGCCGCCGCTGCTGCGCTGGCTCCTGGCCGGGCTGCGGCTGCTGCTGGGCGCGCTGTGCGTGGAGGCTGCCGCGGCGATCAGCGAGACCCGCTCGACGCTCCCGCAAGGCGGCACGCCCGGGGAGGCGACGCGGAGCAGCAGTGGCAGCAGCAGCGGCAGCAGCCTGGCCGTGTCCGCCCCGCCCGAGCGCAACCAGCCCATGACCCAGCGCGCCCTGGCGGTGCTCGTGGTGGCCAGCGCCGCCCTCATCGTCTACTTCGTGATCCGGACCGTGCGGTGAGCGCGGGGGTATAACTGGGCCCTGTCGGGTTCTGGGCCTGGCCGGGCGCGGGGGTCCGCGCTTCCCCGGCAGTGTCCCGCCTCCGGACCCGGGTGCGAGGGTTTCTCGCTGCACACGCCGGGGTGGGGTAGTGGTGGGGGGGGGTTGCTAATGAGCGCTCAGGTGAGGGGTTATGGAGCCAAACACGGCGTGCCCAGCACACCCTGTCCCGGGGGCATCCCGCGGGGTATGACGCGGGCCTCTCGCGCTGTGCGTGCTGTGCAGGAGAAACTGCTCTGGCATTAGCCTTGCACGCCCATGGGCCCACCACCTTCGGGTCCTTAGCTGCTTTGCCGCCTTACTGATGGCAGATACTTTGGGCAGCGCTTTCTAGGGAGGACCAGTCCTTTACCATCTCCCTTCTACTGAATGCCACAGGTCAAGTACCAATCTAATATGTTAACTGCATAGTTATAGATGCCTAAACATAAATACAATGTCAAGTATTAATCCCCAAGCACGGGTGTCACATTTTACACCCATTCAGAGTCTTGCTGTAAGTATAAGTAGGGGCTTGTATAAGTAGGGGCAAAGCGAGCAGATCGAGGGACGTGATCGTTCCCCTCTATTCGACATTGGTGAGGCCTCATCTGGAGTACTGTGTCCAGTTTTGGGCCCCACACTACAAGAAGGATGTGGATAAATTGGAGAGAGTCCAGCGAAGGGCAACAAAAATGATAGGGGTCTGGAACACATGAGTTATGAGGAGAGGCTGAGGGAGCTGGGATTGTTTAGCCTGCAGAAGAGAAGAATGAGGGGGGATTTGATAGCTGCTTTCAACTACCTGAAAGGGGGTTCCAAAGAGGATGGCTCTAGACTGTTCTCAATGGTATCAGATGACAGAACGAGGAGTAATGGTCTCAAGTTGCAGTGGGGGAGGTTTAGATTGGATATTAGGAAAAACTTTTTCACTAAGAGGGTGGTGAAACACTGAAATGCGTTACCTAGGGAGGTGGTAGAATCTCCTTCCTTAGAGGTTTTTAAGGTCAGGCTTGACAAAGCCCTGGCTGGGATGATTTAACTGGGAATTGGTCCTGCTTCGAGCAGGGGGTTGGACTAGATGACCTTCTGGGGTCCCTTCCAACCCTGATATTAATACTTGTTGTTTTGACCACGTTAACCCCTCTGTGCGTATCTACTCAAGCATGTGTCTACTTGTCTTCACTTTTAATGTCCCTGTGTAGAAATATTGATTTAAAAGTCCTCTATGGCTTATTCTTGACTTGCCTTTTGAGACTTGGGGCTGGTCTACCCTACCACTTAAGTCAATATAACTTACATCACTCAGGGATGTGAAAAAGACAAGTTACAGCGACCTAAGCACCCTGGCACTATATCAGTAGGAGATGCTCTCCTGCTGACAAAGCTTCTACCTCTCGCGGAGGTGGAGTGATTGTGCCAAGGGGAGAACGCTCTCCTGTTGGCATAGAGTGTCTTCACCAAACACGCTACAGTGGCGCAGCTGCATTGGTGCAGCTGCAGGGTGGATTTGATTTAAAATCATGATTTAAATCACTTGTCAGGAAGACTCGATTTAATCATGGATTTCTACATAAAAGTGCATTCTTGTTGGTTGTTATAACCTTAATACGTATTCTTCACAACTCAGAGATAGATGTAGGTTTCATTTTTAGAAGGTACAAACTATACATTTTTAAACAGTGATTTATTTTGAAAACTTTTCAGATTATATTTACAGCTATATCAGAAAATGAATGATTGTTTGGTTATTTCATTTACCAAAGGTAATTGAAGCAGATGTTTATGAAGTCATTGGAAGGTGAGCTATCTCCAACAGGTTAATCATTAATATTTGGAGGATTTTCTTGCCATGCTGTATTAGGAGGAGAACATCACCAGACAGACATTTAAATTGTTTTATTTAACTGAAACAACAATGGTTATGTATTCGAGAATTTTTTTCTTCAGTGACAAACATATTATTTTAACAAAACAGGCATATATCCTTCTGTCATAACTATAAAGGGAAGAGTAAACACCTTTAAATCCCTCCTGGCCAGAGGAAAAACCCTTTCACCTGTAAAGGGTTAAGAAGCTAAGACAACCTCGCTGGCACCTGACCAAAATGACCAATGAGGAGACTAGATACTTTCAAAGCTGGGGGGGGAGGGAGGGGAAGGGTTCTCTCTGTCTGTGTGTTGCTTTTGCTGGGACCAGAGCAGGAATGCAGGTCAGAACTCCTGTAAAGGGTTAATAAGCAATCTACTTAGATATGCGTTAGATTCTGTTTTGTTTAAATGGCTGATCAAATAAGTTGTGCTGAATGGAATGTATATTCCTGTTTTTGTGTCTTTTTGGAACTTAAGGTTTTGCCTAGAGGGATTCTCTATGTTTTGAATCTGATTACCCTGTAAGGTATTTACCATCCTGATTTTCCAGAGGTGATTCTTTTACTTTTTCTTTAATTAAAATTCTTCTTTTAAGAACCTGATTGCTTTTTCCTTGTTCTTAAGATCCAAGGGTTTGGGTCTGTGTTCACCTGTACACGTTGGTGAGGATTTTTATCAAGCCTTCCCCAGGAAAGGGGGTGTAGGGCTTGGAGGGATTGTGGGGGAAAGACGTGTCCAAGTGGTCTCTTTGCGTGTTATATTTTGTTAGATGCTTGGTGGTGGCAGCAATAAGGTCCAGGGACAAAAGGTAAAATAATTTGTACCTTAAGGAAGTTTTAACCTAAGCTGGTAAAAATAAGCTAAGGGGGTTTTTCATGCAGGTCCCCACGTCTGTACCCTAAAGTTCAGAGTGGGGAAGGAACCTTGACACCTTCGCTTCTCACATTTATCTCCAGACTTCTCCTTGTCCGGATCTGTTCTGCCTTCAACAATCTTCTATTCCTTGAACTTTTTGAAACTTTGCACTTTTAGAGAGAGGTAAGGGATTGACTCTGTGTACACAAATTTGCAAAGGGACAGTAGGGTTGAGGTCTGTTATTTCTCACCTCTAGATATTATTTATTTAAAACATTTTTGCTGTTAATAAGCATATTCCCTTTGGAGAGACAAATCCACAATTTGAGAACTGCAAAACTAAGCATCTCTGATGGTATCTTCTAGACTGAGCACTGAGTCCTATTGGGTAGATAGAAAGATTAACCTAAATAATCTATACAGAAGCCCCTGGAACTCCATAAGATTGGGTCCCTAATCCATGAACTATTGGAACTCATTTACAAAACTTTTCTTAAACGTTACATGATGTCTCATACTATTAAAATTTATAATCCCTATTCCATGATGAGATATCTTAGTTTTAATTAAGTTATATTATAACTCAATCTTTAGGTAAGTTTTTTCCTCAAAAAGCATTTTATCAAAAAAATTATGGATTTTTATCCGCCCTGTGCAGCTGCACCAATGCCAGTAATGCTGCTCTTCATTGCTAACTTGTCATTATTTTTCAGACTCTTTTTACATTAAATTAAAGATGATCTGTATCCTAAAACCAGACACGGTAGTTAACCATTAGAACAATTTACCAAGGGTTCTATTAGATTCTCTATCATTGGCAGTTTTTAAATCAAGATTGGATTTTTTTTTCCTGAAAGATATGCTGTAGTTCAAATAGGAATTATTTTAGGGAAGCTCTATGGCCTGTGTTTGGTAGGAGATAATCACAGGGGTCCCTTCTGACTTTAGAATCTATTAATCTAAATCAGAAAAATGACCAAGTTTAGTCCTGGAGCAACACCTTTTTACTCTATTTTGCGAGTTCAGCATATTTATTTAAAATAGGGTTACCAGTTTTCGTTCAAGATAACGTGTGCATATGAGAGACATACATAAATACAGTCTGATATGTTTAATAGATTCCAAGGCTGGAAAGGGCCATTATGATCATCTAGTCTTACCTCCTGTATAGCACAGGCAATAGAACTTCCCCCAGATTATTGCTAGAGTGTATCTTTTACACAAACATCCAATCCTGATTTTAAAATTGCCAGTGATGAAGAATCCACCACTCTTGGGAAATTGTTCCAGTGGTTAATTACTTTCACAGTTAAAAATGTAAGCCTTATTTCCAGTCTGAATTTGTCTAGCTTCAACTTCCAGCCATTGGATCATGTTATATCAAGGGTCGGCAACCTTTCAGAGGTGGTGTGCCAAGTCTTCATTTATTCACTCTAATTTAAGGTTTTGCGTGCCAGTAATTCATTTTAACATTTTTAGAAGGTCTCTCTCCAAGTCTGTTATATAACACAACAATAGTTTAATGTAAAGTAAATAAGGTTTTTAAAATGTTTAAGAAGCTTCATTTAAAATTAAATTAAAATTCAGATCTTATCAGTTGAGTGTGATCCTTGCCCTTGCTTTTCCTTGCTGAGTTTTCCAATGTTTGGCAAGTATTTGGATACTTTAAGCTTCACACAGGCTTCTGAATGATCAGTTGTTAACCAGCTCAGAGAGGGACAGGACAGATTTCATGTGTGAAAATACCTGTTCATGCAGGAATGTGGATCCAAATGTGGAAAGCATTGCAAACGCAATTTTCTTCAAACAGTTAAATTTCACTGGCAAGGATGTCAGCAGGTCAGAATAGAGGCCCAATGAGCTCTCTCGGTAGCTTCAAGTGCACTCCGCAGATCTCCAAACTTTGCTGTCCACAATTCTGAGCTTTTTAACTGAGTGAACTGCATTTTGAAATCTTCAACACCCATCCACTGAAATACAGACAAATCCAAGTCGCTTTCATTGAACTTTTCAGGTTTAACTAGAAAAGAAAGCATTGGGCCAGAGTGCTGAAAATCTTGAAATCTGTCAGAAGATTCTGATTCCAGTTCTTGCATGTACATTCCAATCTCATTGACACTGACAGTGGAACATGTCGATAGCTCTTTTATGTGTTAAAAGTAGCGGAAAGTCAAAGTTCAAATATCCCAAGGAAAAAACTGCTAGGTTTACAACAAATACCTTCCAGGCTTCAAAAAGATCTAGAACCGTTT